TGCCGGTTAGTTCATGTACAATCACTTATTCTATTACATACCAGACTACATTTAGGAAGTTTCACAACTTACTCTATTACATAGCGAGTTACATTTAGGAAAGGTTTCACAATGCTCGTAGCAAACAGCAAGCAAAACAGACTTCTCAGCATTTGTATTTTTTTTTTTTTTTATCAAAGATCCATAATAAGCAGAAAAGAGAACTTAGCTTTAAACTAAGGCAGGGCTGTCATTTGGATTTAAAGCTGTTCTTTTCAAGCTCACGGTTCGTGGGTTCGAGCCCTGCGCTAGGCTCTGTGCTGACAGCTCAGAGCCTGGAACCTGCTTCAGATCCTGTGTATCCCTCTTCCCTCTGCCCCTTCTCCACTTGTGCACACTCTCTCTCTCTCTAAAATAAATAAATAAACATTTAAAAAATTAAAAAAAAACCCAAAAAACAAAAAAATAATCTGATCAAGCCCATTGGTTAACACGTGAGAAAATCAAGGTGGTCTGGAGTGGCGAGTTGGGTTCTGGCATGGTGGATTGATGCTCTGGAGTTGTGGATTACATTCTGAAATTACACCCCGGAAGGGTGAATTTCATTTGGGAATTACATTGTGTGGAATGGTGGATTAATATTCTGGAATTTTGTGCGGCGATGGTGGATTTCAAAGAGAAACATGACTGTGATGTGAACAGAACTGCCCCACATTGAGAAGCTGGCAGGGCTTTGGAAAACACTTCATGCTGCTCCTCAGAGTCTGAGAATTTCTTGAATCCCCGGGTAACTAGAACAAACACTGTTCTGTCTTAAACCCACATTTTTACGGCTGCCTTGAAGGCATCACCTCGGAGAAGGCTCTAGTGACAGATTGTGGTTACATATTCCTCGTGCTGCTTTAGTAATAATAGTTGGAGCAAGCTTCAAAAAGATGGAAATAAGGGTTTTTTTTTTTTCCCCCTGTTCAGAATTTCCTGATTATTTTTAGTTAGTCTGGGCACTTTCCATTGCATCAGTGAATATAACTTGGTTCATTCCATGAAAATCAAATAACTAAAAAGCTAGCAATGTATTTCTGTCACAGATGATACTTTTGTTTGCGTTTTGAAGTGTTTTTATGAATTGTATTACAAAACTAATTGAATCAGAGATGAATTTTGCTCAAGAAGTTGAAGTATTTTATGAAATAGAATTACCATGAGAAATTGACCTAATTATTCAGAAGTTTCTAATGCAAAAACCTAATACAGAATTGAAAGCCCTCCAAAGAAGAAAGCCCAAGAATACAGCTCCCTTGTGGCAACGTAACACAGTTTTTATTTATCTCTTAAGAACTTTAGCTTTTAGCTTACAAGAACACAGCTTCAGGATACATTGTATAAATGCATTATCTTCGAAACTAGTTTTCTCTTGTGTGATATATTTTTTCCGTCATTCTAACCATTGTTGGTTAAATAGGAGTGTGATTTTTGTATGCAACTGCTTAAGTCTTTAGTCCACATGTACGTGGCCTACTATTTTTTTTTTAATAATGAGGATGTGCTAGTATGTTTTTAAATCATAATAGATAAAATCCCAGAAAACCTCAGTGTTGTAACCCTTCTCAAAACTTTCTGCTTTATTAGGTGTTTTTGGAGAGTGTAGCTCGGGCTTGCCCCATTCAGAGATTGGACTTTCTCCTGATGACTCAGAGATTGTAGAGATGGAAGGAAAGTCTCTTTAGTTTCGCTCACTTAGCTGGAAGAGATTTAGAGAGGATACTTTGATTGGCTCTCATCCCAGTTAGGGCCATAGTCCACTCTCTCCTTATCTCTGAAGCTGATGCCAGGCCTTGTGTCAGGATTTCCCCATGGTTTCTCCGACCTTTCCAGAACCACCCTGCCCTGCCTGGAATCTATCTCCATAGCAAAGGTGGTTCTACTGGGTGGCTTTCTCCGGCTTTTAACCTACCCCCTCCTTGTATACCCCAGTAATCTACATTCTCAAACAATGTGCTTGCTCTGCAAATTCAGCTTCAGCCAGCCCCCAGCTGGAGATCCGCCCTACCCTACCCTCGAGGACACTTCAAACAAACACACAAGGAAAAAAAAAAAAAAAGCTGTGCTCACAATGCAAATGTGTCTCTGGTGCTTCCTTCCAGCAGCTGGCCATTCATATGTGCCTCCTACACACAGAGTTTAGAGCCACCAGCCTGACTCCGACACCCTTAATGTTGCATTCCACTGCTTTGCAGAAAACAAGTTTCATTTAGTTATGAACACATACTCTTCAGAGGAGAGTAAATGCAGAGAGAAGGAAACTGTATCCCCTAGGATCTGGAAAGACCAGAAAACCACCAGGGGAGTCTGGACAAATGGCAAATATGTTCCACTGCACGCACCTCCCTGAACAGCAAGCAGCTGGTGCTGTTGCTTCCAGGCACTGAGTTGAGGAGGATTCTGAGGCCTGCACGAATAGGAGAGAATTGATACCTTGTGATTAATTTGATGTTGAAGGTGACTTCCAGGCTTTTGGGAATCGTGGTGGATGGTAATGCCACCTAGCAGGACAAGGATTGCTGATGCGGCTGAGGTTAAAGAGAAAGGTGACGAACTCAGTTTTGACATGTGAAGTTTGAGAAGCCCATGTGACACCTGGGTCCACTTGGCAGTTAGGGACATAGACCTGCCCTTCTGGAAGAGGTGGCTGGGCTGGAGAAATAGACTGGGGAGCCACCAGCATCTATGTAGGGGTGAGTGGTGGGGATGGGAGCCCCCGGGAGGAGGGCACCTAGTGGGGGTCGAGAAGAAGAGGTTGTGCAGAATCGCCAAGAAAAAGTCCAGGAGGAAGAACAATTCTACCTCGTTACTCACTGTCTCTGCCTCCTGCCCCATTGATAAGATTTTATGTCAACCCCGTTCAGACTTCAGTTTCTTCATCTGGAAAATGGGAATAATTTCTCTCTCCTGTGTCCCATATTGTCATGCGGATCAATTGATTTCTGGTGATGTTGGGTCGAACAAACATATTTACTACTGGTCCTTCCCAAATTCCACTCAAGTGATTGTAATTTGGGGCAAAGAGCAGGACAAAAGGGAATAGGCAGAAGATGGCAGTGAGACATTTTGGAAACTGACATGCACACGGGCCAATGGCAATGGATTTAGAAACCAAAGAATGACGATTGCCAGGACAGCAGTGAGGGGAGATTCAGAAGCTGACTACTATTTGAGGAATGCTTTCAAGTTTACAGGGGTTTTCTCCTGTATCTCTCTTTATCTTTGCTCAGATCTCTCTTTCATTTTTAAGAAACCAACCTTCAAGGGGGAAGGATGGTGGTACATTGTATGGATAAACCACAGTCTATCCTTTCTCTTACTGCTGGACAGTTACGTTGTTTCCAGTAAAAACAAAGAAATGTGTAGACAAAAGGAAAGTATGCGAACCTACATGGGGATAAGACACAGAACACCAAAGGGTTGTTCCCTCTGGAAGAGAAGAAGGAAAAGGAAAGGAATAGAGAATGGAGATTTGGCTGTATTTTATTCCTCGTCCCCACATTTATTTATTTATTTTTTTTTAGCTTTATTGAGATATAAGTGACATATAACGTTGTGTAAGTTTAAGGTGTACAATGTGATAATTTGACATACGCAGTTGATTTACTTGTTGAGAAATGATTACCTCAGTGAGGCTAGCTGATGCATTTGTTACGTCGGTAGGAACTTTTCACATTTATTCTCCCAGCAGCTTTCCAGCATTGTAAACTGTCGCCACCATGCTGTACATTAATTAGGTCCCCAGAACTTACTTATCTTATAACTGGAAACTTGTAAACTTGGGCCACCATTGCCCATTCTCCTCCCCACCCACCCCCAATCTACTCTGTTTCTAGGAGTTTGACTTTTTTTTTTTAGATCCCACATACAAATGAAATAAAACAGGATTCGCTTTTCTCTGACTTATTTCACTTAGCACAGTGACCTTCAGGTTCATCTGTGTTGTCACGAATGGAAAGATTTCCTTCTTTTGTGTGGCTCAGTGGTACTTTGCTGATCAGTGGTATTGTGTGTGTGTATATATAAAACAACATCTTTACCCATTTATCCATCGATAGACATGAGTTGTTTCCCTGCCTTGGCTGTTATAAATAATGCTTGAAATGAACGCAGGGGTGCAGATATCTCTTTGAGATCCTGTTTCCATTTCCTTCAGATACCCAGTCATGGGAGTTCTATTTTTAGTTCTTTGAGGAACCTCCATATAGATTTACATAGTGGCTGTGCCAATTTAAACTTATTTTTTAATGTTTATTTATTTACTGAGAGAGAGAGAGGGATCACGCATGCAAACGGGAGGAGCAGAGAGAGACAGGGAGAGAATCCCAAGTAGCTGTTAGTGCAGAGCCCGAT